TGGTAATGAAAACTTGCAGTATTTTACCTATCCGGATAAAATTTCTAGGATTTCTTGTCAGATGCAAATGAAAATTAAAAATAAATGTCCTTGAAGAAGTGATCATAAGTTCTAAGTAACTAATCTTTACCTTAAAATGCTGCATGGATTCGCGGCGCCGAAGGCCTATCTGATAAGCATGCTGTTTAAGGAGACACTGACAACAACACGTGAACAGAAGGAACGTCTTGAGCAGGAACTTGAAGATGCCAATGTCAAGTTATTGGAAACCTCTGAGGAGATGGGAAGTATTCGGGCTGAAGTATCGGATCTTCGAAAAGAAGTTCAAGTTTTAAGAGCTTATAGGGACAAACATATGGTTTGTATACGCTTTCGGAATCTCTCAACAAAAAATATTATGAAATTTTGTTCCAGCGTGAAGTGCAAAATTTGGATCAGCTCCAGAAGCGCTTAGAAGACTATCAAGCAGTTAACCGTTACATTCGCCAAGAATTTGCTAAGGTGAGGTAGTAGGTATGAATTGTAATAGGAGTGTTAAATTTATGCGTTTTTTCTTTGTTAATTTATACATCTGCGCTCAAGTTCTCTAAGAAGTTCACCAATGTTATTATTTTTGTTGGCTAACGTTAAAGGCAGTGTCCGGGCAAATTTTCGACTCCGGATTCTTCAATCCGGGCCATTCCGGTGTGCTGAGCACGAATAGCAACAGAACAGAAAAAGGACTTCAAATACTGCGAAATTATCAAAAAAAACTGTAGATTCTTCTTCATCGGATTTCGGGCTTTTTTTGTTGACAGTTGACGAGTGACATAAGGGACGATTCCATTCGACTTCCGAAACAATCGCATGAATTGCCAGAGATCAGTGTGTTTGAGAGAAGCCAAACAGGGACGGACGCTGCTGAGGAGTGAATCTGATGAGTGATGAAGCAGACGGACCGAAACCTCGATTTCCGATTTCCGAAAACGATTTCCTCGCTTAATACAACAAATTATCCTTGAGTTTGGGAATTAGTTCAATCAAGAGAGTCGGCTATTATTATCTGATATCAAAATCCCAATTTGCCTGAATACTGCCTTCAATATGCTATATATCAATATATATCAACACTGCGGTTTAGCCTTCAGCAAAGCCTGGATGAGAGTCGTATATATGCACAATTTGACGGAAAATTTTCGCTCAACATTAAACGCCTTTTTTCTCAAACAATACGATTTGATCAGTCAGAAGTCAGTGAAGCAAAATATTTGGTGCAAAAAAGTTTTTTCCAACTTCATTTTTTTCAGTGCCAGAAGCTTGTGTTTGCTGAAAACCAATCGAGATTGTTGAATGAGAATCACCCTTTTTGTAGCTTAGGATTTTATTGGAAATGTATTGTAGGAAGGCACTGAGGGATTAAAATTGCAGATTTGCCCAAAATAGTGCAATGGAATTATTGGCATCCTAATCAAGAAACTCTTATTAATTTTGCGCGACAAGGCGTTATCTTTTGGTGCGTAAAATTGAGGAAGAGGATACTAGTCTGCCCAAAGTGAGGTGGTTTTTTGTGCCCACTACGCGAGTTAGCCTTATAGTGCGAAGAATATGATATCCTGAATCAGAATGTTAGATTCTATCAGCCGCCACTTTTTGGATAGGTCTCTGATCTCGACTAAGTTTAGTGCCTACATGTTGTAATCCTACAGTAAAATATTAGGTAAAGTTGCAAACACCCCTCAAATACTAAGATGTAATGACGAAAAAGAGATATCGGAAAGGCTCATTTTCGCTTGCAACGTCCCATTTGAAGGACTGCTGATATTTATATTTTCCGGGAAAATAGTTTAAACATCCTTGTGGGAAAATTCCTCTTTCGCATAATACATATATAACTGCCAAAACCTTCTAAATTATAATACTTGTCGCTTTAAAGGAAAGATGCAAGAACTTTCCTGACAAATC